TGAAAGATGCTGTTGGGAAAGTTTATTTCGCGGCCCGCCTGAGAATTGTTTTTCACAACAAGCCGTTGCTTACAAAATCCTTGAAGGATAGACTGCCGTCGTTGACCCATTCAATGATCGTTAATCAGCACTCGTGCTCCCGTGGTGCACGATACGTGGGTCGCAAGATGAGGCGCCAATCTCAAAGGATTCGTGAGTACATCCCCGCATGATTTTACAAAGGCGAACTGAGGTCTTCAGACAGCTCAATTATGTCACACCTCCTTGAATGAGCCTTGAGTAGCTTCAGCGAATGACTTCAAAGTCATCTACGCGTTGTCTGAACACCTCTCAAGGATTCTGCAAACAGCTCTTATCCATCGCTGAGACTAGCTGCATTCAACGTCCGAATCCGGAACTATGTGTGCAAAAACGATTCATGCGACCGATACTACTGCATTGGCCAACGGACACTGTTAGTTATTTGGTTATTACCTTACCTACCCAACTACTTCGGACTACTGAGCTTTGTGTATTCACGTTCATTTAGTTCTACCAATGAGCCCATGAAGGCGTGCATAACCAAGATTACAGTGGCTCTGGTCATCTATCAAGTTGACTGCATCGATCGTCTGTCATTTGAATTTGAATCCAATTCTGGTTGTCCGACGGCTGCTGCGGTTACATGTCTGGTGCGCTGACTACACGGCAGTAGTCCGCACCTGGGACAGCTGTCACGTGCTCTCTCGGTCAAAAAGTATTGATCGAAGTCTGTGGAAAATAGGTGACGCATGTAAGTAGCACAAGCGCAGCACCTGAGCACATGCCTCAGTGTACCTAAGCCGATCAAGAGACGAGTGTTGAGGTGTGAACCATTCAATATCATAGCGGATGAGTTTCTCGAAGCCGGACATTACTGTTGTATGTGAAGTTGACGTGAAATGAGGTTATAGCCACCCGCATGGGATTAGATTCAAGTTGTGTTCAAGTCCGCGAGTCGGGATCGTCCAAGTGACGGTAAAGTAGGTAATGCAACATTATTCTCAGAACGAATGACTTCGAATTGTTGGCACCTGGAACCGGTAATAATGTCATGAAGCGGCTCAACAGCAGAGCGGCAGTAGGATGGGAAGGCTAATTTTCCTTACAAAAGGAATGCAACTGATCGATAGTTGAGAACACAGGTGATTTAGATAGCTGAAAAATGAAACAGTAGAGTAACGGAAGGATGGTGTATTGGACGAGCAACAACGCAAGCCCAAGGCGATTCCTATAGGACGGTGCGAGTGGGAATCGCATGCTCAAAGCAAAGGTTGTAGACCAAATATAGCACAAATCGGTGGACTCGTTATGCTATTCACATGCACACAAAGGTCACTTGGTTTAACTGAACACGGTAAGCACAAGGTTTGTTTGAATTCTGTAGTCTCCCGAGGACCGCGGTTGATATCAAGTATTGCATCGTTCAGTGGTTTTTCACTAGGGAAAGTTTGGACTCAAGTACGACTTAGTTCTATCGCGTAGCCTTCGAGCTGGGCCTTGACCAAGAATTGTTCGAAACGAAAAGTACACCGCGTGTATATGCTAGAGCAGTGTCGAAACTCTTCCGCTGGGGTGATACGCAACGGTGGTTTCCTCAAGGAATGCCTCAGATTGAAGACACAACGTGACCACGCCAATGTAGCTCGGTGCGTGTACCAGAATGATTCGCCTCTTGCTTTCTTGCTCGTCCATGGATTTAGGACCCATTCTCGTCTGTCAGCTCTAGTTCGAAAGATAGTGGATTGCCTAACAGCTTACCAGACAAACATTGCCGATGACAGAGGATTAATGTGGACGTACCACCAAGTGCCCAAGAGAGATCGTTCAATTTGAGAACATAGCAAAAGAGACCAGGTGCGACACTGATCTTGTCACATTTCAAGTAGTTTTGATGACACACCGATCCATCGCAAGAAATGTTGTGTCGCAACTGACGTCTTCACCCCACGACCGTCAGAAGAACTCCAAAGACGGGAAACAGTTGTATGCATTGAATCGTCTGTTTAAATAGTTTTAATAATAGTCCGAAGGGAAGCTACTAAAAAATTTCAGCCAACCATATTGCTAAAAGCATGAAAGCAAAATGAAGCCAATGAAGGGTGATCAAGAAAGGAATGAATAAGAGGCACGCATGAACGAAAAGAGGGAGTGTTAGCAGCCAAACGGCATTGCGATCGAGGGTAAAACAGTGACCGCAAGAAGCCAATACAATTAGTGGAATGACTTGCTTAAAAAATGCCACTAACAGCGATAGCTGAAGGAAACAAATCGGTAACTAAGAATTGTAACAAAACATATATGTCCACTTCTCAACCTCCTAACACTAACAGTTGCCACAATGTCGAACTCCGGCCAAACTAGTCCAGCTTGAGCAATTCTCCACTGATTGTAATGGCTCTCTATCCAAACATCTACTATCCCCTAGATGTCATACCTCAATCGGAAGGAAAGCGTTTGCTCTTGGTGTACTATGCAGCGAAAAGTTCATGGGAAACGGGGATGATTAGTTTAGGATAATAGAAACACTTTGCAGTTGGAAAAGCATTAATTCCTCCGACATTGCTTACGCAGTAGAGCAAAGCTGATGTGGATCGAAAACCAACTATCTATCGTCTAGCTTCGACCTGTATTCGGTACAGTAGCAGTGGTTCGTGTACTGTGGATCTTCTAGGTACGTTGACTACCCTTCGCTACTGGTCCCATTAATACGGAAACTCAGGTAAACTAAGGGGCTCTTCTGACCACCGTTGCCAGTTATCACTTAAAGAAACCTTTCTACATAAGTGGGGTTTTTCTGTGAGACTACGTGCCACACAAGATCCGAAGACCGCAAAGGTACAAGGGTCAAGACGGGTCTTCTTATTTAAGTTGTATCAGTCGGTCTGTGTTCATTTGGATCACAGAATTTACGAAGAATTCACATGGGAGGCAACCAGGATACACCCCGATTCTCTCGGTAGATTTTGCGTCGCTCTTTTCATGACTCCGAGGGTTACATGGAAGTAAGCTTAAGAGAAGTTCTCCTTGAAATCCTTCAGCGATCAACTGGTGGGATGTACCTAATCAAAATCAGTCTTCGATCGAGAAGGACGCTAATGGAAGACTATCTGTTGGTATGTAGCTGTTAGGGTACAGCACCTGACCAGGTGTACATGCATGCTAGATGCGTCTTCTGACACGGTGGGGAACCACCCGGCGTCTACTGCTTCCATGTTCATGTGGAACAGTGAGACAGTAAGTTGTTGAGAGGACAATCGTAACAAACCTGCTGTTCTGATTTTCCCCACACAAAGTAATTTGGCCGCATTCAATGGAGACAAGGGCAGACTACCTACCGCCTGAAAGCACTCTCCCAATGCTTTCCACATGAAGTTTGATTGCGTGAATAGGACAGCAACCAGAGAGACGCCATCACTTTTCAAGGACAAGATGACTTAATTAACTTCAACGTAAACTGTCCATGTCATAAACCTTTCACAGGTTGGAGATGAAACATCAAGATTTCAAGTTGTTTGAGGCGATCTAGGGGTAAAAAATGAAATAGCAGACTCAATGAACTGTCCCTGAAAATCTACTGCCAAACATTCAAGTCTAGTGCGTAAGAGAATGGCTCCACTGTTCAACGTTTCCAACGATTATTCCACTCGTTCCCGCTGTGTAGGAGTGTCATTCAGCTGCTTCGGTTGTCAGTACCCTGCTGCATCCAATGATTCAGTGTTGTACAGTAACACTTTCGGATGACATTGAAGCTCCTGGTCAAACGACTTATTAGAAGCTCATTTGATGTCTGGACAATTCGCCCGTCTAGATGGGCTTAACTTTTCCACTTGTCAAGCCGTGTCAGGTGCCGAGTGATCATCATTACCATCATTACACATTAGCTGAAGGTGAGTGACACACCTCGGGTAATGTGCCGCAATACAAAAATGTTAAGATATATATGTACGCGAGCTACTAAACACTACAGAATACAATAACTAAAAAGCAATTACTGTGTTGCTAAATGTAATACTATCCATGTAGCGTGAGATCGTTGGTGGAGTGGAAAGATAAGCGGGATAGGGAGGAACAACGAAGATTATAATGCAAATGCAACTAATGTCGACTCTTAGCTACGTCAACAAATGGTTCCAGCTAAACGTATTCATCATCCTTCGGGCCTCAGCCTGGTAGTCAGGAAACATCAACCGAGGTCAAATTCGCAGAGGGGGAATTCATTCTTATTGAGCAATTCAGCGCTTGGCCTCCTCCCCTCTTCGTCCATCCAGACCGCCGGGCGTACAAACAATACACATCGCGGGAGTCGGTGTGTTGGCATGCGCAACACGTAGCCCAGCCCCCAGAGCCGGGTGCTATTTATAAAACATTGCTGAGCCGTTCACTCGCTCTTCCTGCACCAAGTACATGACGCCTGCCACGCTCATTGCTCACGCGGTGTGCCCACCAAACATGAGCTAAGCTTCGAAGACTGCGAGGATCGAGCATAACTAGTCTCTTTATGCCTGTCGACTTGATGTACCAGGTTTCGCAACCGTACAGGAGGGTTGAACGGACAGCAAACTATAAATTCTTCCTGTCATGGCGAGAGCGACATCGCTCCGACGCCATATATGGCGGAGTTTGGTAAACGCGCCTCGAATTTATTATGCGGTTTATGATCTCATCATCTATACAATTAGCCCTAATATAGCTGCGAACATAATTGAATTTCTGGGCGACTTCTAGTTGATCACCACCAAAAGTCAGCACAGGGATGTTGAGTAAGCAACCTCCAACTTAGATGTCCTTTTTATGTCGGAAGCGTATATGCTGTCCGGATGTACACAATGATATGATCTCACCGCCAGTAATTGTGACAAGGATGCTGGAAAGTTGTGCCAAACTAATGAGACCTTTCGCATACAGCGTTCAGAAGATCAAAGTGGATGGATCTGTCGTGAAACCACGCACAATGCATCAACGTGAACAGCGGAACTCACTTGCTTGGGCAAGGAACTCGTTGATCAACTGCCAGGTGCTGTACACTGAGCGAACATTTCCCTCAACAGTTCTCACATACACTGACTGGAACAAAAGAGGGGAGGTGGGGTGTAAGGCCATTAAAAGTGTTGATAAGACCAAGAAGGGATACACAGGTAGTTTGGTTAACTATGTTCTGGTGGTACCCAGATGGTGATCTCGTTGGATCGAACTTCTTATCGCTTACGGGATACGGCTGGAGAAAGAGTCAAGACGGATACAAGATGGCGTGGAAAAGGAGCAGGAATAGTTCGCTGCTGAGTTTTGGATAACCGATTGTGTTTGGATTTCAACGCGAAAAATCTCTATTTGGGTCCTCGTTTATGTGAAACAGACTTCGGAGGATCCGTCGATTCCGCCTGGCCCGCAGAATGGAGACCGATTGAAGCGGACTCACACAAGTTGAAATTTCTAATCGCCATGGATCATAACAGAAGTCAACAACACTAATGCTGCATCTATTCTCCTCATCTCTGCAACCGCGACAATTTAGCATTGTGTATTCATATTGCGTGAGCTGAACAAGTGGATATTTGCTGAGAAAATATCAAGTGCCTCACACAGCATACCTCAAGAACCTATACGTTATTTTGAATCGAACGTAGCTAGCGACTACCATACCATTCCGGTACACGGGTCCCCCTAACCCTCACACACGCTGAAATCTCCACTCAACAGAGTTGGACAAAAACAACCGTCACAAGCATTTTCCGCTAAGCTGTTCCCATCTCTTGCGTCTTGCGTACCATGTGAAAACTATATGCATACATCGTAACCTGGCCATTCGTTCAAGAACCCAAGTAATGCTTTCGATCTGAGCAGCCCCCCGATGTCGCCTGGATGGAATTCATCACCCAGTTCACAGGGCCAGTGTCAAATGCGTCGGAAGCCAAAATCTTTTGCCCGAAACAAGTAAAGGCCTTTCTGAGGGGCATAACTCAAAAATGCGGCTATAATGATTCTGAGTGGCGCTCTTATAACGTTTGTCCAACTGTGTCGGCCTGAGGGGCCTACATAAATCGGTGAAACCACTGCGTCTAGTTGGTCCTTAAAGACAAACTCCAGTGCCAACAGGACACAGTGATGAAAATCAGTAGTAAGCCTAAGATGCAGTACATTCACGGAAACACGCGCCAGAGAGTGCAGCGAGGAATCGCAGTTGTAAGTGCAGCAACTGGTCCGGCGATAACTATGCAAGACGCGGTCAATGCGTTTCGGAAAAACTTTGTCTGCAGTTTCTAGAGTGAATCCCCATCTTACCCGCTTTTGACACAACTCCCACCGCCCCTGAGAAAATTAAACAAGACAACAACAGCGGTACGTTATCCACTTGAAATGATACTTCGCTGCCGTACAACTACGGTGACCTAGGGAACGAAGAAAAGTGACAGGGAGAGAATAGGGAGCGAGCGCAAAACTGCAATGCCCAAACAAGCATTCATGGTTAAGGCGCCTACACCTACTGACAACAACATACTGTCGCAAACGGCGGGCTATCTTGCAAAGATAAGGAGGCATCGGCGAGACAGCTTCTTTGCGGCTTTCACCGCCCCGCGTCGTAATCAGCCGTTACCCCACAGACAACTCAGTACCAAACACACTTTAAACAGGCAGTCCGACTGCCAGACGACAGCAGATATGCCACTGATACCGACTGTGATCCGTGTTCTGTAAGTCACAAATCGTTCACCGCAGCTAGTGTGATGAAAAGACTATTGTCCATGCGCTGGCACAGCTCTCCTGGTGTGGACGACAGGAGAGCAAAGGCATTAAAGACAGTCGATATAGTGCTGGATGAACTGTTAGCTGGGATCTTACAACGATACCTTGATGAAACACGCTGTACAACCATGTGCAAACATGAAAGAAGCACTCCTAAGTAAATTAGTGGGAATGGCGCGGACCTCTATAACTACCGTTTAATCACGCTCCTCTCAGAGTTATCCAAAGTAATGGAAGGGATTCTCGAAGAAGCGCCCAGCAGATACTATGAGAGCAACCACATCAAAATCTTAAAGCGGCAAGCATTCCATCGCAATCAGTCCTGTACTATAAAGCTGCTGCTAGTCAGAACAAGCAAAACAAAATCTGTTGCTGCCAGAGTAAGACTCGACGTAATCTGCCTGGACTTCTCTACACCGCTGGACCATCACACCCTTCTACGTAAACTTCGAAGCTATGACATTGGCGACCCTGTTCTAGGTTGGAGATGCAACTTCCTCATTCTACGTCCGCTGAATGTGAGAGTCCGCAGCTCCAATTCCCGACCAAATGAAGGTCCAGTGTGATGTACTACACAAGGATCGGTACTGGGTCCATGTTTGTTCATCAACGATCTTTCCAGTGTGTTCTGATCGCATTGCTTAATAATTGCAGATTCCAAGATCTGGCATGACATCAAAACAATGGTCGATCACTCGGCAATGCAAACAGATCTCAACAAGGCCTATACCTGGTCATCTGAAAGCCGGCCTCAGTTCAACGAAATGCAAATTTACGATGCAAATTTGTGAGCATACGCCGTCAGCGTGTCTATAAGTCACAACTGGGAGAGCAGAAACTACAACTTACTTCTCAGAAACGCGACCGCAGGGTAAGCCTACAAGACGACCTTGGCTACTCGAAACGGGCTGAGAAGGCATCAACTAGAGCCAGTCAGCACCATGGTCTCTTTCGAGGGGCGTTCGGGAAGTTCAAGTCATCTATCTTTTCGTAAACGCTGAATTCCTACGCGAGGTCGCACATGAAATACAAGATCCAAGTGTGGCGTCGTGGACGCAAACAAGATGTTGATGCGCTTGAAACCCCACAACGGAAAGCAACGAAAATTGTCAGAGGACCGTTTCACCCTCTCCCCCTACCAACGCAGACTGCAAGCGTTGGGATTAGAAATCGGTGAATATCGATTTCAGTGAGGAGAGCTTGTCATGGTTTACCTAATACTAACAAACTCAAATCAAACCTGTCGTGACTTGCTACAACTTAAGCACAATGCCAACCTGGGACCACTAGCTCATACAGACCACGCCGCACGATCGACTTGGTTGTCGACAAATCATTTCTCCCTTCGAGTATTCTGGACATGGAAAGACCTTCCAACGCAAGTGATTTTGGGCCCAACATTAAAGCCTTTCAAACAAACGTCTTGACGACACTGTCCCATTTGCATAATGTGGTATACTCCGTTTCACTCAGAGGACGAAATGACTCACTAGCAATTTCCGTTACATGATTGGCGGCATCCGGTTTCGGATTTGCCTGTCACTGCGACCAGCGACAGGACGACTGCGTCTACTGAGGGACCATGGATAGCTTGCGTTGCACCACCCACAGCACCAACCATACACTCCATATCCAGTGTAAACCCGAAGGAATAAGACCGAGAGGCATGTGGATGGGAGCCATGTTTCATCAAAGAAGTCGGCCCACACTCCTTCACAGGCAGACGCAAACACGCTGTATTTGGGAAACAGGCGCACACAAGGCGGTGGCTGGACCGTAGTCCGCTCCAAACCGAGTGCATGGAACCACTCTTCGAGCATAGCGCAGCCACAAGGACCTTACACTTCGTCCCCTCCAGCAACGACCAACTGTCTCCTGGAGCCAGTATGGACGTGGTAGTGGGTAATAGACTGGTAAGAAAACCTACATCAGTGTTCATGTGGATGGCTTGATGAGTCACTTATAACCCGAATTTCGACCTTTTTCCTTGTTGTCTTTTACGTTTGGTTCTATAAGCTGCACTCTGGTTATCCTACGGGACGTGTCAAATCGAATCATGATCACGTTATTTCTAGACCAGAAAAAGGTTCGGGATGGATGTTAATGGACAGGTCCGAGTAAGTCGCGATACTTCACGTTATTTTGCAAGACACGAGCACGTTCATGCGCGAGACAGACAAGAAGAACAAGCCCCAGAAGATGAGACCAAAATTACGGAAGTCTTGAAAGAATTAAAACAGCTGCATGTGGTAAATGACTCTACTTGATGGAATAGCACTTGCTGGCTCTCAGCCTCCCGCGGCTTTATGGTCCGTCTAAAGTACACCAATCGCAGGTCCCTTACGTCCTATAATGGGTACATTGGCTTCCGCCTTCCACTCCACCGCAAAATGGATCGTCGAATTATTGGAACTAGTACGTAATGAACTATCATTACACTCTCTAAGGGATACATGTGAATTTGTTAAATAAGTTAAAGACATGAAGGTAGACAATAAAGTTATGCTCTCATATGATGTAGAAACTGTATCACAAAAGTCCCTTTTGTTATAAAGCTGTGCCCGCAATCGACAGGTTGATTAACGCCTGCTGGTAACTCTGCGTCCTCATGCTTGCTCTGTTTGACGTATTGACAAACCCGACAGGAAGGAAGACAGAAGAAGACTCAGCAGACCAGAGTTGTATTAGGACAGAGAACGCTCATATTTATATGTCGGACTCACCAACCCTCCAAACATCACCAGGCGGATTTGGCTGTGAGCCCACGCTCCACACTTGTTGTCCGCTCCGTCTGTCCAGTTCACCGTCTTGCTCGGGCACTCCAGTCTTCGTCCGCCTACCCGGTGCATGGTAACGCACGTGATGTCTGACGTGCCATTTCCTCAGCTTCCGGTCAGGCTTTGGCAACACGCCTGCTGTCTGATGCGCGATTTCATCAGCTTTCGGCTAGACCCTTGCAACGCGCTCGCAAGGTCTTTCCCAAGCGCGATTTGTGGCAAACATGCGCGCGTCGGCACTCAGCTTTCTTGCCCAGCTGTCACCTTCCTTTCGGAATTGAGTCAGCATGCAAACCCTTCGTAGCTTTTCGCCCAGGGAGCGATTTGCAGTCGTCGTGGTCTTCCCCGTTTACAAGCCGGCCTGCATTGGGCATCTGATTTCTGCGGCATTTGTTTTGTTTCACCGAGTTGCTGACCCTCAACTTCCAGCCCGAACGTGCCCAGTAGGATGTCCCAATGTAAAGCTGGTGGTTTTTGGGGACCTTGGGTTTTGCCATGATTCGGTCTCAACTGATTGATGTGCTTGATCCCTATCTCACGTCCAAC